AGCGCAGGAGGGGAAGACCCTCTATGAGATGGATTGATTCGGTGACTGGGGTAATCGGGATGGGTGTGTCAGAGGCGGTGCGGTTGGCGCAGGATAAGCAGGGTTTAGGGCTCTGATGCATAGGGTCGCTATGAGTCGCAAATGACTCGACGGCACATAACAACAACAACAACAGCCTTTGTGCTGACAGTGGCATTCCATGGAAGCAGAAGTGGCATCCACTTCCTAAACAACATTCTTTGGGAAATCTATGAACTTTAGAGAAAGGCTTCAGTTCTATTGCTCATAGGGTTGCTTTGAGTTGTGCTCAACTAGGCGGCAATCATCAACAACTAGAAGTTAAATCTAATCATATCCACTAAGAAAGCCATGGAAATATTTCACTAGTCCAAGCAACAGACTAAAATCCTATACTTTTATCTCACTATTATATCAACAATTCATACTATAAATTATAACTATAAAGTTCTTAATGTCACACAATCTCTCTAGGAACAATCACAAAGAATACAAGTATTTACCTGAAAACAGGAATCCCAACTAGAGAATAAACGTCATTTAGATGTACAAAAACCTGTAAGAATGGAGTAAGAAAAAGCATTATAATTTGCAAATTTCAATTTTAAATCCATACATACCATAGTTAATTAAAAAAATATAAAGTTTTCTATGTCATATATGGGAAATAAAGTTTTGGTAGTCCCCTCTTTGGAGTAGACACAAATAAAATTTTCAGTATATTTTAGAGGAAAATTTCAAGGACAATGTAAGTAAACCACACAGAATAGCACTGTGAGGGGGAGCTCTGGTGGCCTAGTGGCAAGGAGCTGCAACTACAATCCCAGAGGCGCACGGTTTGAATCCACCAGATGCTCTGCCGAGGAAGGAGGGACAATTTCCTCCTGTACCAGTCAGATCTGATTTGACGGTACACTCACACAAAAAATAATAAAATAAAAATAATAATGATTAAAAAAAGAATAGTACTGTGAGAAACTTACAATCAACTTTCTTATCAGAAAGAATTACTGAACAGAAAGAATTTTATAACATTTGGGCTTGAGATTTGCTAAATCCTCCCAACTTCTAGCCCTTAATAAAATTCTATGGCACACAGTCTTCAAGTCTATCTATATACATACTCACAGAATAATAGAATCTTTTCTTCAAGCCATAGATAATGGGAGGAAGGACGGTCCCTATTTTTCTACAGTTTACAAGTAAATTTCATCCCTTATTTTCTTTTTTCTGTCAGTTAGATCATGTAAACAATTTAAATGCCTCAGCTGCCCAGGTTAAGTTTTACAGATAAGAATCTGTCTTAAACTGATGTAATCTGATGTGTTTTATGGAATATCCTACCAATGCTGTTTTGCTACCTGAACAAGTGTTAATCTAATTAGAGCTAGTCTAATTTTTTTTATTATTCATGTTAGCAAAATTTTTCACTGAGATCGTAATACTCTTCTATTCATAATTTACACTGAAGATCTAGCACACTTACTTTGTTTTTACATATTAAGTGTTAAGGCTTCTCTTGCTATAAAATTTCTTAGCACCTATGTTTCCCACTAATTTCACAGGATAAGATTTGACCTGATTCTTCTGACAATTTTTAGTCACAGATATGTAGATTATTTTAGTGATAACAACTTTTTATATTAATTATGTCTATCAATTATAGCTATTATCAATTGCACTGAATGACAATAAAAATTAAATTAGCTACATTAACTCACTTATGAACAAATCTATGAAAAAATTCTGAACAATTTTGAGAGAGATAGAGTTGGAGATATAGGGAAGAGGAAACCAAGACAGGATATGTGAATTAGAAAGGGAAAGACAAGAGGAAAATATCCTCACTCTCATAAGAATAAAATTAAAATTGAAACAGTACAAAATATCCTGATTTACTTGGTCTGCTATTAATCTACTTAAAGGTAGATAATAAGTAGTTGTATTAATTAATGGATCATAAAAATGACTAAATATTTGTCAAATTTATGAGATAATTTTTTTAAAGTAACAGAATACTTTTATAGCCAGCATTTTCTCATGTTTTTTACCTTGATGTCACTGTAAATGTAATATAAACTCATTTAAACAATCTAGAAAATAGAGAGAAAATAATCCATAATCTCACAAACCTAACAAAGCTATAGGTAACAACTTAGTGAATTTTGTGCAGGGCTTTCTTATCAAAGATCGTAGAATTACTATCATAGAGAAATCATTACAATCTCATAATAAATGTGACTGGTGGCCTAGTGGAAAGAGGCTTCTACTCTGCAGGAGAGGGATGAGCAATCTCTTCGATTTACTGCCTCTAAAAACCTGCTCGAGGCTCAGCTTTGGGTTGGTTCTGACTTGACAGCACACAATAACAACAAAAAATAATTTATGCCATAAAGTCCTATTTGAATAAATATTTTCACAGTGAAGATTATACAAAAATGCCTACAGTACTCTACTGTTAAAGAGAAATAAGACTTTGGAATCCATGTAGGTACGTTTTTTTAAAAACAATAAAATATAAAAGTACAATATGGGTTGACCCAGCTTTTAAATGATATGACAATATACTCTACATATAGGAAATAAAATAAGCATTCATTACCTCTAAATTTGGTTTCCTCAAATCTGCTTTCCATCCCAATTGTTTCATAAGAGCAACTCCAATTACCCTTTCTATCTCCTAGAAAAGCAGCAAGTAATATGTAAAAATGACAACGGTGAAATTGTAAAACTTGAAAATAAGCAAAATTTAATAAAACCTGTAAAGCCAAATCAGACTACTGGATGGTAATTTCGGGTTGCAATATTCCATTATTCTACTGAAGTGCAATATTCCACTGAAGGCAATAAGGCTTCTTCCTCCCCTCCCCCCATCCAAAATACATGTCTTAGCATTAGTACCTATGCATGTGTAAGCTCTATTATACTAAGTATAGGTATATGAAATAACAAGATCATGACCTGAGTTTTAAGAAACAGTTATAAGCAGAAAGAACTGTTTCAGTTATCAAAATCTTAAATGTTTAAAAATAACCAGACAGGTAGGTATTATACTTACTCTAGCTTTATAGTCTTTTAAAGGCTGGCTAAGTACATAAAGGACTTTTATGTACTTCATTGTGCTTTGTAAAATGCTAACAATAAAGGCATTCAAAGCAAACATTTTGTAGCTCTTCTCTCTCTTAGATTCTTGAGGCCCTGAGATATCTGTGCATTTGTCCCCATGACAATCACATATGCAGGATCTGATGCAGCACAGCTATTAAATAAATCTGAACAGAACTCTAAAAGCTCAGAATCATGACTTTAGGATTTCCAAATACCAAAGGCATCTCAACATTTAAGGAACTGCTTAGGCAAAAACTAAGTCATTCCATGCAATAGCATATTATTGCTCTTAAAACCTAAGATAAAGTTAAAAAGAAAAAAGCAAATTTTTTACAGATATCGAATAATATGAGATTAGGCCTTGTAACCAGTTTAGACCTAGCCAGCTCTTCTTTGAGATGTTAATATAATTTTAAATTAAAAAGGTAAGTACCTCTTTAAAGACATGGGAAACCACTTTGGGAGATGGTCATACCTGTGAAGTAAAGGCTTTTCCAACAGATCCACTGCAGCGACAGGACACTCGGAATGTCACAACATCATTATGATCAACAAGTGCTTTCTTGGCAGCATTCTGAAACTCATCTTGAAAATGTTCTCTTTTAGTGATAAGATCTTGGTCCAGTGTTTCTTCCAGATGGCTGTGTCTATTCTCATGTATGTCTTGCATTTGTTCTATTTTTAAACTCTTAGCAATGATAATGTCATTTTTTTCCACTTTTCTTTTTAATGGGTTAGAATTTTCTTGCATAAGTTTTCTATCTTTTGCATCAAGTTCAAGAAGACTTTTCCAAATTGAAAGGCCATTCAACCAAATTCCGGGATCATCATTTACCAAGCTTCTCATTTCACTGAAGAGTCTTCCTAAATAAATAACATCTCAGTTTATCCTACATTGAAGCTTTATAAACAGCCTACTACTGCATTCAGTCCCTCAAATGCAAATTTCCATTAACTTTATTTTTTTAAAAAAATAATTTTTATTAAATTGCTGTGAGAGTTACTCATTGCCATACTGGAAGAACCTCAACTGTGTTTCCAGGAGGACATTGCCCATCTTTCCACTGCAGAAGTACTAGTGGATTTCAACCACCAGAGCACTTGGTTGGCCTTTGGGTTAGCAGTGCAATTACACCCACAGAGTTCTTTAATTTAACATGAAATTTATCATTATTTTCCAGAATAAAGCTTGTTTTTATTATACATAAATATTTATATATAATCTCACACACACAGAATGTTTTCCTGTTGCTGCTGTTGTTGTTAAATGTCGTCAAGTCGTAAATGACTCATAGCAACCTTACAAACGAAAGACCTAAACCATTGTATAACTTTCATCGTTTCTCCAAGTTCATAGTTTCCAGAGGCAAGCTATTTTGGAAGTAGATGCCAAACCTGCTTTCAAGCTTCACCAAGCACTGTCTACCATGGGTAAGTAACCATTATCACATTTGATGCATCAGTGTCATAGTGTTTAGCATCACAGCATCCATGAGTTAGCTCTGTACAGCAAATGGACAGACCAGTCCTATACTACTTAGAAGAATGTTTAATTAAAACCAGGGCGGAGGGCCGCAGATTAAAATCACCCACCCTTGACTTGGTAGCATAACTTTCTGTCCACCATGCCCACAGAGCTCTATGTTGGTGGTGTTGTTATGTGCCATCAAGTCATAGATGACTCATAGCGACCCTATGAACAAAAGACCTAAAGACTTGTATAATTTTCATCATTTCTCCAAGTTCATAGTTTATGGAGGCAAGCTATTTTGGAAGTGGATGCCACTCCTGGTTCCAAGCATGATAAATTCCCTGGAATTACATGAAGTCAGGGGGACTGTGGTGGCGTAGTCCATCGAAACTTCATTGCTAACCCAAACTCCGTGAGTATCTGGTGGTTCAAATCTACCAGCAGGAGAAAGATGGGCCTTCTCTCTTCTTTCAGATTTACAACCTTAGAAACCTGATGGAGAGTTGTGGTGAATCAGAACGGATTCAATAGCATTGTGTTTGAGGTAAGTTGTTTTACCTAACACTCACTAGCAATTTCCACTGTAGTCAGAGTGACTCTGCATGTTCCTAATTCAGGGCTTTTGACTCACTGTTCCCTCTTGCCAGAACACTGTTCAGGAAACCAGTATAGCTCATTCACCTCCTTAATCTTCACTTGGGCCCTCCCTGAACACTCAATTCAAAACATATAACCCATCCCAATCAATGGAGAATCTTACATCCCTCTTCTATATTTCTTATTTTATTAATTCATGAGGTGACATACTACATTTTATATCTTACTGCTCATTTGTTGTCTGTCTGACTTCATACAGTCCATGAGGGCAGGGAAGTTTCTCTTTTGTTTTCACTCCTTTGTCTCCAGTGCTCTTACATTTTGGAGGCATTCAGTAATTATTTGTGGAATGAATGAAAGAAAAATTAATTGATATCTCTAGACTACACATATTTTAATACAAATATTTAAGAATTGGAAATATTTACATAAATAGTGTATTATTATACCAAATCATTCTAAGACTGGTAAAAAATTGAGGAAATTCCTATTTTTGTAACAATGATAACTTAAAATGCTACCGAATGTTAAAGTTTTCCTAAACTATAGGAATTCAAAATAAGAAAAGCTATGGAGTATGTTTAAAGTCTTAAAATTCCTTTATAAGGATCATATAATTAAAAAGATCCTTGTTCCTGCAATCTCAGAGATGCATGGTTTGAATCCACCAGATGCTTTGCTGGAGAAGAAGGAACAACCTTCTCTTGTAGCAGTCAGATCTGATTTGATGGTACACCCACACAAAATAATGAAATAAATTTTTTTTTAAAAAGTTCCTTGCTCAATGCTAATAAATATGAGCTAGAATGCAAATTGAAACAATGCTGATCTAGCTATAAAAATGAAACTTAAAAGCATTACAAACCTCATAACTTAGAAAAAGTAAGTTTAAAAGAATAAAGTGCAAACCACAAAGCTCAAAAGCAAAATAATCACATTTTAGCCTATTTAAGTGCAGATATCACAATATTGGCATATATCTTAAAATGAATTTTCATAAAGCAACATTTAAGACAGATACCCAATTCCTACTTCAGGGACTTCCCAGAATGATCAACTCAATATAATATTTTTTAATGAGCAAAGGTGGTCAAGATGATCCAAAAGTAATTACTGTGGTTCCCTAAAGATGAGGGGGATATAACAGGATATAATTCTATTCACCCCATAGTATCGTATGTGGGGACTTATAGACAATATTTTCCTGTGTTACCTTCATTTCTTGCCACCTCTTTCTTGAATTAATTTATAATAGTACAACTTTGTAAAATGGGCAAACTGAAATTTGAAGTAGCCTTCTCCTACAGAGTCTGACACTTTGGTCTTTTTATCAAGCATTTAAAATTACTTTAGCACAATGATTTCTAAAATTAGGGAGTGGAGAATCTACCTTTAAGGTCCTTTTATATCCAGCATTTTATAAATGCATTCAAAACATTTAATGTCCCAGAAATAAGAAATTTTACAGAGTAGCATTTTTTCCAATTATATCATTTATCACCTAAAGGCGACAGACAATTTTTATTCATTTATTAAAAGAAATGCATCTTGAGTTAGTACACGCCTATCCACCCATTTAAATAAAACCAACCATATATCATCTCTATTGCGGATGCCTAGGGAGCTCTGGTGGCCTAGTGGCAGGAAGCTGCACCACAATCCCAGAGGTTTGCGGTTCAAATCCACCAGATGCTCTTCTGGAGAAGGGGGCCAGTCTCCTCCTGTACCAGTCAGATCCAATTTGACGGTACACACACAAAAATAATAAAATAAATTTAAAAAAAAAAAGAAGATGCCTCATAATAATTCTTAAATTAAAAAAAACAACAACATGTGGCTAATAACAATGAAGACAGAGAGCAAATTGTCAAGATAAAAGACAGACTCTAAAGACTATAATTACGGAGCTCTGGTAGCCTAGTGGTAATGATTGTCAGCCTGTGCTGTCAAGCTGAACGCATGCAGTTTGAACTCACTAGCTGCTCCATGGGAGAAAGATGGGCAATATCCTCCTGTTAGATTTCCAGACTCTGAAAACTCACTGGCATGTCAGCTATAGGTCAGTTTCAAATCAATGGTACTCAACAACAAAGACTGCAATTAAGTGGTAATTAATACCAAGGAAATATAGTAAAAAGGACATAATTACTATTCCCACAGGTATAAATAAATCTTAAAAACAAGAAGTGGCAAAGTATTAATGTTAAACAGGAAATTGGAGAATAAGGCATGTGTAGGAAAGAAATAGGCATACCTTTATTTGCAGAAGAAACATTAAGTGGACACTGTTTTTTAATCAGCAAAAATAATCTTTCTGCCGATTTTAATTTCTTTAGTATATTCAAATCAGAAAAGGTGGTAAAAAAAACTTTTCCTGAAACATATTCAACCTAGAGATAGAAAGAAAAATACATTTTAATGTGATATAATATCTGAGTTAACTCTTATTTTCTAAAGGTCAAGGACTGCAGCCTTCCAATATGGATTGAAGCTCAACATCAAGAAAACAAAGATTCTCACTACTGGGCTGATTGGCAGTATCATGACAGATGGTGAAGAGATAGAGACTGTTAACAGCTTTAGTTTACTTGGCTCCACAATCAACATTCTTGGTACCAGCAGCAGAAAATTAAAAGACGAATTGCATTGGGAAAGTCGGCTGTGAAAAACCTCGCCAAAGTTCTAAAGAGTAACGATGTCCGTCTGGAGACTAAGGTACCCCGATGCAGGCCACAGTCTTTACAATCACTTTCTATGCATCAGAAAGCCGGACAATGACTAGGGATGATAGAAGGAGAATTAATGCCTTTGAGCTGTGGTGCCAGAGAAGAGTAATGAATACACTATGGACTGCTAGGAGAACAAACAAGTTCATCCTAGAGAGTGTGAGACCAGACTGCTCCTTGGAGTCAAGGATGCTGAAGCTTCGTCTGACATACTTTGGACATACTGCAAGGCAGGATCAGTCCTTGGAGAGGGACATCATGCGTGGGAGGGTGGAGGGATAGCACAAGAGAGGAAGACCATCAATGAGATTGACTTATTCAGTGACTGGGGTAATGGAAGTAGGCATATCAGAGACAGTAAGATTGGCACAGGATAGAGCAAGGTTTAGGGCTGTTGTAGGGTAACTATAAGTCACTGGTGACTCGATAGCACACAACAACACCAACAACATATTTAATCCTAGATAAACAATAACAGATTGTGCTACTTAGGAAGAATTTACTATTTGTCAGGCACTTAATTATTAAGCAATTCAAATACATCCTTCTTCATCCTTATAATGAAATTTTGAGTAATACATTGAGAAGAATAAGAATTTAAGAGTACTTATTTGTGCTCTTGTGAAAACTATACCTGGACCAAGAGACTGTTGTGTAAACAGAGCAAGGAAGCACTACATGATTTAAAGAAGGGAGTATGTCAAGGTTGTATTCTCTCTCCATACCTACTCAATTTGTACACTGAGCAAATTATTCAAGAAGTTGGACTCTATGAAGAATGTGACATCAATAGCCTTAATTATGCAGATATCACTACCTTGCTTGCTCAAAGTGAGGAGGACTTGAATCACTTGTTACAGAAGATCAAAGAATAGAGTCTTCAGTATGGATTGTACCTCAATGTCAAGAAACAAAAATTCTTACCACTAGACCAATAGGCAACATCATGATAGATGGAGAAAAGACTGAAACTGTCAACAACTTCATCTTACTTGGATCTACAATCAACGCCCATGGTACCAGCAGTCAGGAAATCAGGAGACATTGCACTGAGAAAGTGTGCAGTTAGGATTCTCTACAAATTATTAAAGAGTACTGATGTCAGTTTGAGGACTAAGGTGCATCTCATTCAGGCCATGGTCTTTCCAACTACTTGCTATGCATCTGAGAGCTGGACAATGAAATAAGGATGGCAGAAGAAGAAAACTGATGCCTTTGAGCTTTGGTGTTGGAGAAGAGTAGTATACTTTGGACATACAGCTAGGAGGGGCTATTCCTTGGAGAGGAATATGATGTATCAGGATGTACGAAGATGACACAGGATAGGACAGGGTTCAGATCTATTCTTCACAGGGTCACTATGGGTCATGCCTAACAACAACCAGTAAGCTGTTTCTAGAATCCCTGAGTGGTACAGTTAACCCAAATGTTGACTATCTGAGTCACTCAGAGATGCTTCAGAAGAAAGGTCTGGCAACTTAATTCTCCAAAATCAGAAACAAATTTTCTCAGATAGTTGTTGTTAGTTGCCATCAAGTCAAGTATGACTCACAGTAACCCTATGGAAAGTGGATCTGAACCCCATCCTAACCTGCGCCATCCTCACACTTCCTGACACACTACAGCTCATTGCAGCAGTCACTGCATTAGTCTACCAGTCAACACTGAGTTAGCCCCTCCAAGCAGCATGCCCAAAGTATGTGAGGCAAAGGTGCATCATCCCTGTCTCCAAAGAACACTCTTGCGGCAACCTCTCCAAGAAATACTTATTTGTTCTTTTGGCAGTCCATGGGATGTTCAGCGCTCCTCTCCAACAACACAACTCAAAGGCACAAATTCTTCTGTCATCTCTATACATTGTCCAGCTCTCGGATGCACAGCAAGTGGCTGGACAGACCATGGCTTGAATAAGATGCATCTTAGTTCATAAAATGACATAATTACTCCTCAATAATTTGGACAGGTCCCTAATTGCAGATTTTCCTACTGCAACATGTCTTCTGATTTCCTAAGTGCTTGCACCAAGGATGTTAATTGTGGATCCAAGTAAGATGAAGTTCTTGACAGTTTCAATTGCTTCTCCACCCACCATGATGTTTTCTATTGGTCCAGTCGTAAGAATCTTTGTTTTCTTGACACTGAGATCAGAAATATCATTTGATTCAGCAATCCCACTACTAGGTTTATGACCCAAAGAAATAAGAACTGCAACACAAACTGATAGATGTACTTCCATGTTTATTGCATCACTTTTTACAATATGAAAGAGAATCATCAACAGGTAGCTAAAGAAAATATAGGACAGTCACACAATGGAGTATTATGTATCACTAAAAAAGATTTTAAAACTTTGCAAAAACTGCACTACAAAAAAACCTGCACTACATAGATGGACATAGAACAAACTATGCTGGGTGACATAGTCAGTGACTAAAGGACAATTATATATAAGGTCACTACTGTAAAGAGTTAAAGAAAGGTTTATTCACAGAATCATTCTTGGATGGTTAATAGGGATGGGAATGGAAGGAGAAGGAAATACAAATTAATACATAAATTGGGTGACTGAAAAAGCATACAATAAGGGGTTGATATATACACACATACACACACACACACATATATATACTACACACACACACATATATATACTACACACACACACATTTCAGTAAAAA